ATCCGGAAGAGTACGAGCCGATTCGAAGTGCATTGGACACTTCGAGCTAATACCAATTTCGAACATTCGCACTACTCCGCCTTCAGTCTGAAGGATCTGAGTAGCAAACAATGCTACATTGAGAGTCTTTGATTTACAGCTTGTTCTCCATCAACGCAAATTTGAGTTCACTTCAAGGCACTCAAATCTGTTTCGCAAACAATGTAGGGTTTATTTTGTGTCACTCAGGTAACCTTATTTGAGTTTCATGTTGCGCTGTTACAGATTATTTTAGGATTTTCTGGTTTTCATAGAATGAAGGGTTTTGTGATAATTTTTTTCTCTATTAAAAAGGTTATCAAGACGATTTCGAAGAAGAGCTGGATGATAATGATGATGAGGAGGAGGAAGAAGTAAATTTGTTTCCCGAACATGAGATGGAAACGGAATACCGTAGTTTAGAGCAACATTTGGATATGAAAGATTCCGGAGAAACTCATTCCCTGGACAATCGTTCCAGTACGTTTCAATCTAGGTTTCCCAACCGCAACTGCATTCCGATGTCCATTTGTAATGTTTAGAAATCTTTACATAATGACCTAATGCTGAATATGTCGAACGACTACGGCTGACAGTTTGTGAATAGGACACGAAACTTCTAACACGGAAATGAAAGTGACTAACGTGCGTAAGATCAATTATTTATTCCAAGAATGGTCGTAAATATGGTATTGAAATATACTAAAATAGAATACCTGGAAGTTATATACTATATTACATACCTCTCTTGACTCAGACTGTATGATAAGCAAAGCAGTGCATAAAAAGCTTCCTGAAAAATGAATCAGCTCAGAATTTGCTCGTGGGCATAATAATGTTTGATTACCCAGGTCAAAACAATTAAACTTTCTTTGGTGTTCACAACCGGGGTCTTTGGTTAACCATAGACTGAATCGCAATGAAGCTAGGCGGTATGTAACAACCGTAATTTATTGAGGCTGATGTCGAGTTCATTAGGCTATGTACCCTTTGAACGAGGTCAACAGCCGAAGGTATCCAACAGATCTCGATGTCCTGTCATGCCGATGACTACTGTTAGGACCAGGAAAAGTTCAGGTAAATCAAATTCATCATGTGCCGTTGGCCGACTGCTTATCTATTCCCATTTGGCTGATAATTAACAACGTACTCGCTCTCCACTGGCTCCTACCTAGACTTCATTTCTGTGTTCCTCCTTGGGTTGAATTCCACTCTGAATTGACACATACAAAAGAACACTGAGCAGCACACTGTGTACAGCTACAAAACTTTCTCATCTGAATCCGTTCATCCAAGAGTTTTTCACCGTGAAAAACTGGAACAAAACGGTTTATTCTGATGTTGTCAGCCTACCCGCTTCCTTATAAATGTTCCGCACTAGGCAAACGTCGAAAGTTAAGTTGATGGAATTCTTGCATGCATTAACTGTTTGAAAATGATGACGGAATTGAATCGGGACGGCAAAAAAGACACTTGGAATAAGCTACTTAGTTTACCACGGACCGTTACTCGATAAAACGTAAGTGGTGAAGTCACTTCAATAGTATGAAATACTTCTGAGGAAGAGGGGGAAGAAGCTTTATTAAACACCCTTACAGTTTTCCATTGCAATAGGTTTGCGGTGCTTACCTCTGAAAACAGAGCAATCGTTTTGTGCTCCAAATTGGCCTATCGTTGTCGTTCATGTGTGGTCATAATTCGAGATATTCATGAAGGTGATTCATTCTTAAAAGCTTGTCATATAACAGTGAATATAGTGCAATCTCCCGCAACTGTAGCTGCTTTTGTATTCCTAGCGTAAAGCAAATTAGACTTATTCTGGATCGCTTTTGCAATAGTATCGCACGTTGCTTCCCTAACAGGAATTTATCGAACATCAGAGTAACTCAGTTTGTTTGTACAACCATTAACCACGCATATTCGTGCGCCGGTTCAGGTTGCTGTCTTTTGACTGCCCATTTTGGATGAAGAATAGGAGAAGAAAGGAAAGGTGCCCAGCCGGGGAGCCTAACAGGAGCTATGTGACCCAGTCTCCTGGTTAGGATTTTCATACCCTCGTGCCAGGTCTTAGCTTGACCACCCTTGGTTTTTTTTCCACTCGGTGTCTGCTTCGGCGAATTTCAGTAGACTAGGGTTGCAAAGAAATTGGGATGTACGAGCGCCACTGGTTGCGACACAAAGCCATATCACCTATCTGGTGACATGCGTAACACATGTCCCAACCAAAGTAATCTATGGAGGTCGACCACTTGCTCCAGTGGGCGACCGCGGATACCCAAAACTCTGCGCCTCGTCTCAGCATTGCTCATCTGGCT